AAGTACCAAGAAAAGTATGTTAACTCTTAGGGAGTTGAAGCTAACAAAGAAACACAAAGAGTTTAGAGCTGAAAGCAATGATTTAATATGCATCCAATGCACCGGGGGAAAGCACCAGGAAAGTGCACCAGGATTGCAAGTCAACAAAACTCAGACTACCCTCTGCAGACTCCAAAATAGGCCAGTGCAATTTTGTCAATAGTGGCCACTAAATTCCACAAAGATGGCTAACTCCCAACTGCATTTTCACTTTTCATTTATTGCCTTATGTTAGATTTTGCCTATAAATAGCTATGTTCCCGTCATTGTACGCCTAAGTTGTAGTCCAAAACTTCAGTTAATGAACTTCCAATTCTCCTCTGTTTTGAGTGAGTTTCTTGAGAGTGGATTCTCTCAATTTATCTCTGTATCTTAGGTTTTGCCAACCTAAGTGGTGATCTTGGCAATCGAATTCATCATAGTGGGATTTTCAATCTCGCCAAAATCGGTGTTTGGGTATCGGTTCCTACGTCATTTGGTATCAGAGCCAATATATTTGGAGTCTGCACGTCATTATAAGCATTCTGGTGAAAACCCGGTAGCCGAAAAGGTAGAATGCGCCTCCACGTGCCGGCCACTCGCACCACTGCAAATCGCGTGAAGTTCACGCGCCGGTCATCTTCAACCTTTCATTCGCCACGTCATCGTCGCGTCATCAGTCACGTCATCGACACATCATCATCCAGTCACTACCACATCATCTATTTGCCACGTCATCTGTGCCACGTCACTTGACACGTCATCAAGCCACGTCAGTGACACGTCATCACCGCAGCCGCACTCTTTTGCCACATCATCAAGTCCCTCAACTTATTTTGTCCTTACGGATTGAGCCAATAATTTTATAAATTTCAAATTACCTCCACTTTCAAACACTAATTTTCCAAAAAGCCCCTTACCAACCTAAACTCATCATGCCTCCTAGAAGACAAAATCCTCCTCGTCAACGAGCTATTCGGGACATAGAAATGGAAGAACTACGTCAACAAATTCAAAGGCTTCAAGAAAGACTCGAAGCTTTTGAGGGACAACAAGCTCAACACCCGCAAGATGAACCACATGAGTCAGAGGAAGATACTGATGACGAGAATCCCTTCCATCACCTAAGGGATAATGAAAGCTCATCATCAGCAGAAAGAGTTTGTCGTGGACGACGTCCCCAACAAAATGCTGCTCCCAAATCCACTGACCTTGGCATCAAAATCGATATTCCAAATTTTGAAGGTCGCCTTCAACCAGATGAATTTATCGACTGGTTGCACACTGTGGAACGTGTGTTTGAACTCAAGGATATTCCTGACGACAAGCGTGTGAAGCTCGTCGCCATCAAATTAAAGAAACATGCATCCATTTGGTGGGAGAATCT